AAGAAGACACTTCATCAGCGCAACCTGAGGAGCCATCGGCGACGGCTGAGCATGATCCTGAATGGTTGCGATCAGGTAGGTGCAGTAGTTATGTTAACTCAGTGGGCGCGCTAACATTGCACCTCTAGCGGAGTGCACGCAGTGGCAGCGGACACGCGCGGAGAAGACGCGGCACAATGAAGCCGTAAACATCCTATGCGCTGAGTTCCGCCACTCTGTACGTGGGTTTGACAGTCTCCGTAAGGGATGGGAAAATGCTGCGGGGTGCACTGGGCTTTCACTGGGACATAAGGCATATGCGCACCAGCAGGCGCAGATGTATCTGTGGATGCGAGACGAATGCAAGGCGGAGTATGATGCGGCGCGTCAAGGCGGCACGGATGGCGAGCAGCTTGACTATACTATGGTGAGTGGCTATCTCATTGTTATGATCCCTCTGCTTATTGATCCATCTTAAGTCTTTGCGTGCCGAACTGGCTGACTTTGGGAAGAAAGGGTGTGGTTTTGAGCCTGCATTGAAGGTGTTGCGGATGTAGAGGCTCAGGCATTACTTACTTTATATAACTAATTATTAGCTCATCAATTCCGACATTATCTGCCATTACCGGCCGCAATTATTGCATATGGGTACCCGATTATTGCCTCGATTATCTGAATCATAATGGATGAACAGTTAATGACTACCCCAAGTATGTGTGCAAAGCAAGAGGTATCATGTATCAGTTCAACACTAATAGGGATATTGCTATTGAGGTGTCACACTTGACAGCCAGCACAAAATGTGCTATAGATCATGGAACTTCATGTAGATAATCAACCTTTATAACTGTCAACATCATACTAAATGAACTCTGGTGGCTCCTCTCTTGATGAAGGAAATGATTGGCTATTTGCATTAACTAGTGTGAAAGATAATGGAAATAATAGCATCACCTGGCTTTGTGAGTGGCAAGTGCACGGCTCCCGTCAAACTCATCCGTGCAGGCCAAGCAGACGAGCTTCATGGTGGTTGGGTGGAAGCTGCCAGACAATGGATCTGGAGCTGTCCAAAGTGTCAAGGTGCTACTGTACAGTTGGGGCTGGGATCGGCGCGCTCACATCATGGGTGGCTGGTGCGCGAGTTTTCCTTCTCTGAATCAGGGTCCAACACGACACGATGTGTCTTACCCTCCTCCCACCTCCTGCTCTCGCTTTTCCTTGCACTCGCTATGGGTAGATCGTCAGAGAAGGACAAAGCCAGCAAGAAGGACAAGTGTAAGGAAAAGAACAAACAGAAAGAAGCTCTCCAGCCCCAGGCACCTCCACGTACAATTCCTATACCACCTGCCCCATCTGCATTGCTGCCACCCATCCCTGTTGTGGCTGCCAACATCCCGCCTCCACCGTCAGACAACCTGCTTGCCAACAACCAGGTACAGGTATCCGAAGAACACCCCGAAGCACTGCCGCATACATCCGGACAGGAGCCTAATGCTAATGTCCTGATGGGGAAGCGTGCCAGAAGCCCGGACCTGGAAGCTGACGCACACACTCGCAAGCGCGAGAAGAAGCTCAACAAGATCCTCACCTACATGTACCACGACACCCATGCTGATACGTGAGTATATGCACGCATATAGTCACACTACTAACTTTGTTTTGTCCTGCAGCGTCAGCGATGAGATCAAGAGCTACCGATTTGGAGCCCATCTGGCCTCCCGCGTGGTGCATCCATTCGTCAACGCGCACAATGCACTCGTCTTTGGCCAGCACTACACCGACGCCACTGCTGAACTCTCAGACTCGGACGACGAGTCCGACTCTGACTGGGGATCCGACTCTGAGGGCGCAGCAGACAAGCGGAAGGCTAGGTATGCGTTGGGTTTATCTGTTCTAGATTACACCTGATGTCCATCATCCCAGGGAGACAGAGCGGCAGGAAAAGCGCGAGTACATCTTTCAATACCATGCCATTCTCGACGTGATGCCGAACCTCAAGATGGACTTGCCCCTGCTCGATGCAGACCAGCTTGTGACATATACCAACTTTGTAAGTACGTGTTGGCCCACTCAAGGACTATGCTGACAAGTGTTACAGGTTAATCATTTCGCGTGCGCGTCCCGAGGGGACAACACGAACTCGCTCCGCAAGGACATCCTCCTCCTCTACCGCAAGGAAGGATTGCGCCTCGATCCTTTGTATTCTGAAGCACCTTCTAACCTCGTGAAACACAGGCGTGGGTGGGAAAACAACTACACCGCACGTCTGTTGTGCCCCCAAGAGCTGCTCAACACATACAATGCCAATCCCAAAGTGTACGTACGTGTGGATAAATGCGCGCACTTTATTAACGACCACCTATGTTCCGCAAGCGCGTCAAAGCTGGCACAATCAAGATCACACCAGGAGCATACTGTGCTCTCCTCTACGACCAGAAGCTCGCAGCAACATCATCTGGTGAAGGCGACGAGCACGTCGGCCTTCTAAGGAGCCTGCTGCTCGTTGCGGTAAGCTGCGTGCAGAGCAACCTCGATGCAAAGCATACTAATGTCAGCGCGCAGTGTTACAAGCACGTGTGGACCGGCCGTTCAAAAGTGTTCCTACCCGGAGTTGCAGCCGGGCCTTGCACTGGCAAACAGCCGATCTCGCGCGTGTACAATGTCGGCCGCGTGAACCCGCGCAGCATTGCCTATGTCATTATCCTGGTGAGTCGCACGATCGTTGTCTATGCGGCATACTCATATTGTTTCATGCAGGCCCGTTTCAGCCTCACTAGTCAGACATCATTTAGTGTGCTTGACGATGTCGGAAAGTTCAGCTATCTGGAGCTGTACATGCGGATCTTGAGCCTCTTCCATGACGTGGAGTCCCCGTGGTGCAAGGAGACACTAGCGTGGTGGGACATGTATGTACACCATTGACTGTCGAACGTTCTGGCTGACCTTTCTCTTAGGCAGGTTTACGGTGTCGCACCGGCTGTGCCTATCCGCGGCGAGGAGCCTGAGGAAGAGACTGCAGCAGACTGACTCAAGCACCGTCAGAGAGCCGAGAGAAAGGCTCGTCGGCAGGCAATGTTGCGCACGCGCACACGGTACGTGTTCAGTCACTTGGTGTTGCGCAATACTGATGCATGAGGCTTGATAGAGGCCCTGCGCACCCGCGAGGCTCGTCGAGCCCCGGTCCTTCCTCCGGCTAACAGTCTCACATCCACGCCCGCACCTCTGCTTCCACGCTTGCCACACCGCAACCATGCTCTACTTCCACGCTCGCCACGGCGCAACCATTCTCCGCTTCCATGCTCGCCACAGCGCGACCTTCATCTGCTCTCACTAGTCTCGTCTGCATGCTCTCCCAGTCACATCGCTCTCGCTCGAAACTCTGCTCCTCTGCCAACATCCTGGCATTTGCCTCTTGTTGCCGTATGTCTCCTGGCCTTGCTCGCTGCTCTCGCCTTCCTTCTGTTGACTTCTTCGCTCTCTCCCGCTCCCGGCAACAACTCATAGACTGCTTCGGGATGGTTCGTGTATTGTCATGTACTTGTTCTTCTCGTATAGCTATCAATAAAGATCGACGTGATTACAAGCTGCATCCCGCGTGCAGTAGCTAGTATATTGAGCGATATATAATATTAAAAAGCGCTATATACTCCGTACATCTGCAGGTCCATACAACGACATGCACACCCTACCGGTGCATGCATACTACGCCGGCCCCGGCTGTCTTTGGAACCGGCGGTGGAGTCTGCAAGGGGATGTGAGGTATGCAAACTTTAAGTGCACCATTGCTTGCCTAATGCAGACCCCGCCACCGCGTGCAAGGTATGCATGCGGTGGCAAGGTCTGCATCCCGCGACATGGGTATACAGGCGCATCGCGAGTTTTGCTGATGCACCTTCCCCCCACTGCGGCGAACCCCTGGACCCTCCATGCCGCCTTCATGTGCTCAATGCTGTATGTACCACTTATGTACATCATTTTTAATGTATTTCACGAATATTTTGAACTCTTTTTGATGTATTGATCCAAATGATTCGCACTTTGGTAAAACCTATAGGTAAATCCGCGGGTACGAATCTATTTATGGGTAGATTCGTAGGTTACAGGTCCAAATCCGTAGGTATGGGTTGATCCATATGCGGATCAGGCACAAATCTAGGTCACAGTGCCAAAAATCGGAATACCTGTAGGTTCGAATCTGAATCACCTGTAGGTTAACCTATGCTCAGCTGTAGAGAGACAGGGCTAAGGTCTGTCAATTGCGAGAACACTGGGCTATTGCCCTACAACACAAGGTCCTTATATACTCTCTAGGAGATCACAGGATTGTAGGAAACAATGAGTAAGGAGCGACTGAGGTCGGGATGTCCGAAAGGAGAAGGATAAGGAGGGTATGATAAGCGGAGTAAAAGAGGAGGGAGTAAGTAAAGGATAACGAGCGACCGAGGCGTTACAGACCGTTTCCGTGCATTGGCGTGAGAGGCAGCCCGAGTGTCGGTGATACTGGGAGTTGACGGAGATGGCAAAGACATTAGATGGCAAGAGTAGTTTGATTAGTGCATAACTAAGCTGAGAAACAAGTGTGTGCCGAGCGCGTGCGCCACAGAGCGAGGTAGTGAGAGAGTGAGGTGGAAAGGTTCAAACGTCTAAGGGCGAGCTAGTGGACTTGACAGATTTGGCGGGCCCTACGTATGACTAATTGTGTTAACGAGATCCACGTGGGGGCCTAGATTGGTGACCGGGAGTCACGAATAGCCGTTTTCGTCCCGAAATGCACCAGACCTTCTGGTGCACGCACAATAAGCGCCAGAAGGGATGGGAGCGAGACTAGCTGGTTTGGAGCCTGGTCTCTTCTTCGCTCTCTTCCGCCTCCTTGCCTATACTCCTCAACGTCGGTTTTGCGCTGACCCACCCACCGCTTCCATTTTCAGCGTTTTGAGGACGGGCGACAGGCAGCTTCTTAGCCATGGTACAAGATCGGTTCACTGTTCCGCTTGTCAAACCCCGCGGTAATTGGAACGCTGACCCCAAAACGAAGCACTGGGGCTTATTCGCGCCACACGACGTTGCGCGAACCCGTGCCTTACATAAGGCAGGGTTCCTTAGCCTTTACGTGAAAAGCCCTTGGCTGTTAAAAATGGCCGCACGAGGGCTCGTAGGTGGCCCACCGCCACCGCTCCTCCCAATACAACCCGATCGACTACCACCCGAGTCTCTCTTACGCGCACCACCCCTAACTACACCACTCGCCGACTTCTATCAAGGCCGAGCTGTTCGCAGACCTGCCCCCGGTATCCTCCCTTACCGGATACGACCACCACCGCGTAGAGTCCTCCTCTTCTCCTCCCATTTTCCGCCTCGGTACGGGCTTCGATTCGAGCGCGCGCACCACGAGCCCCTTTGTGGCATTTACCTTAATGTCACCGACAATTTTCCCGACCTCCAGCCCCGGCTATGCGCCGTCGCCCTACTATGCGCACCAGCAGCACCACGCGGCGCTCACGCATCAGCACCCGGAGCAGCACCCTGTGGCCGTCCAACGCTACTACGCCCTCTCATCAACGGTGATCGGCCACCACAGCCAACACGCGCCCTTGCTTGGGAACCTTCCTGGGGTGTCTATGGGCGGAATGGGCCTGCCGCCGTACAGCGCCGGCGGATCCGGCCTGAGTGCGAAGGCAGCCACGGAGAAGCAGGCCCGGAGGCACAATGGCAAGGCATGCGACCAATGCCGGAAAACCAAGATCAAGTGCGAGCAGAGCAGCTCTCAAAAAAAGTGCACGGCTTGCGCTACGTTTGGCAAAGGTGAGTTGTCGCGCGGTCTTTGTGTTCGCATCCTGTCTTCGTGCAGGTGTCCTTTCAATGCGTGTCGCGAATTTTTCTGCACTTCTCAAATCCACGCTCCACGTGAATGTTACAGTCCACTAACTAAAGGCTTGACAGAATGCACATCGCTTCGCCCATGGCAAAAGCGTGGTCCTGTAAAGGGCCGCATCAGCGGGGTTGAGGTGCGCTTACACCAAGCCGAAGCGCTCATAGGAATACTCCTGAGCAGCAACGATAGCCGGGCAAAATCCGTGCTTGATGATCTTGCGCAGGTGCGGCTATTTCTATCCATACGCGGTGTGTTCTGGGTCGCTCGAGAACGGGACACAGCATGATTCACGGGCATGTCCTTAAAGCCCACGAGCATACAACCACGATAAAGTTCGCGAATGCTCACAGAAACTTGTTTAGGATCTACTAGCGAAGGAAATCATTGACAGGGTGGATGAATCGCCCTACGGCTCCAAGGGCCGAAGCCGTGGGGTCGAAGCACCCACGAGCGGTAATGGGCCAGCGCCGGATCAGCGCGACGGCAACGACAACACCGTGCGTGCGACTCAGTAAGCGACTACCGCGGTCCAAAAGAGTACTACCAACTGACCAGTTCCGCAGCCCGTCGAAAGAATGGCAAGATCAAGTTATAAACCGGCTGAACTCGCTAGCGGGAGCCCGAAGCACCCTCCTTGAATTGAAGAGCCAAGCCGGATCCGATGCATACGCCCCAAAAGCCGACGACCCCAAATACCCGGAGGACCAGCTGGGTTCACTTCTATCCGCTGCTCACGCCGCACCTCCGGGGCCAGCCTTTGACGAACAAGGGCCGCAGGCCCTGGTCCAAGCGCAGATTGGCGAGCCGCAGAGACAGCAGCGGCCGCTCTGCGAGCATAACGGCGCACAGCGCTCAACGTCTACCGCGTTGTCACAGACAGCGATACGGCGAACCGCGACGGACGAGAGCGTCGGGAAAATTGAGAGTGACGAGGGCGAGGATGAGATTGCGGTCGTGATTGGGCAGCTGAGCATCAACGAAGACGAGCAGGTGCGCTTCCACGGGAAGGCGAGCGGGCTACACATGCTCGGTGTGGGGAATCGGCAGGACGGGCGCAACGATGGCGACATTTGGCGCTTCCCGAAGGTGCGCGTGCGGCCGCCGCTTCCGCCTACCATGCGCAGTAGCCAGCAGGGAGTCGGGGGCCGGTTTACGCCCAGGCTCCCCAATGTGCCGACACAGGAGCTCTTGCTAGACTTGTACTTCACGTACGTGCATCCGGTGCTGCCCATCGTGCACAAGCAGACCTTCTTGGACGACTTCCGGAACGAGTGAGTGCACATTTGACCATGCAGTTCGTGATGAGAGTCTCACAGTATTCTTGTAGTACTATGTATGATTCTCCGTACTCAGGAGAGTCTGAGTTCTTGGACGCCACAGCATCGCTCCCGTCTGCACCATCACCCCTTAGCCCGCGAAAGCGACACGTCTCAAGGCTGCTCCTGCTTGTTATGTTTTCCTTAGCGGCACGGCACTCATCGCACACAGCCGGGCTCACCCCACCGGAAGATGGCATGATGTGGACGGCGGATGACGAGTACATGGAGGATGCTATGGTTATTCTCGACCGCCAATATCTAGTAAGTCGACCGAGCACCTGCCAGGCGCTGCTCTTGCTGGGGTACCGCGAGGTGGGGATCGGCGCGATGGCACAAGCGTGGATGCACATCGGGATGGCCGTGCGCATGGCGCAGGACCTTGGGCTGCACAAGAGTGCGGAGAAGTGGGCGACCGTCGGACACGCGCTGTTCTCATGCGCGGAGCTGCAGGAGCGCCGCCGGATCTGGCACGGATGTGTAATCATGGACAAGCACGTCTGCACGTACATCGGGCGGCCAGTCGCGATCTCTGAACACGACTTCGACACGGAGCTCCCGCAGGACGACGATTTGGAGGAGATGGAGTACTGGAGGCCGCACAACATCAATACGCTGCCGGTGATCAGCGACCTTGCGGGGTGCCCTCGCGACGAACTTCCGCCAGCCCCCGGCCGGGTCCTCTCGAGCTTCAACGAGCTCGCTAAGCTATGTGCGTAACATTATTACTCACTTCCAGTTGCCCGGTACTGACCCACGGCAGCCGTTATCTTGAGCCAGATATGCCAAAGCATCTACGCGATCAAGCCCTCAGCGAGGCGGCCCGCAGAGCTTGTACGGCTCGATAAAATGCTGAAGAAATGGTTTCTGGATCTCCCGGAGCATCTGCGCTTCGACCCGGCTGCCCCTAAGTCGCCTCCTCCTACGCCGAACATCCTCGCGCTCCATATGCAGTATTGGTGCACTGTCCTGTTGCTCCACAGACCGTTGTGCGTGATATTGGCACCTTCGAGTGTACGCGCACCTTACTTAACGCCGACGGCCCTGGTTAACCAGCATCCAGCACATCCAGAGCTCCACCCAGCCGTAAGTGTAGCTTTTTATCTCCTCTCATATGCTGATTGATATACGCGCATGCAGGGATTTTTCCAGCCCAAAATATCGCCAGCACTATGATTTAAGTGTGCAGGCGGCGAATCATATCACCCTGATCGGTGAGCCTTGATGGACCCCGCCATGAGACGGCACATTTTAATATGCACGGCAGCCTCCTTATACGACGATTACTACAGCCCCAGCTGCGCGTCCGTCTTCCTATGCTATCACATCTTCACGGCAGCAACCATGCACGTTGCGACATGTACGCTGCACCTCCATTCTGCGCGTTGAACTGTAACTTACGCAAGGTTGCCCGGCAGTGCGGACGTACCTCAACGACCCCCAGGCATGTCTTGGCCTGCAAAAATGCTTGGAGGTACTGCAGCGGATTTCTGTCATCTGGCCCGGCGCATGGTGCACACTCGAGCTTCTCCGCGGCGCAAAGGAACAGCTGGAGCGGCCCACAGCCGACGCACTGCCCTTCTGTGGCCTTATCCCCTCGCCGCGGAACAAGTGTTCGGCACAAGAGCCCATTATTGCCGCGGAGGTGCCGGAGCACTCGCACAACGCCGAGTCCCGGGATTGGATGGTATATCGACAGCCAACAAGCTACCCGGTCGCGACCTCGCTCGGCCAGAGCCATGACCAAGTAAGCCAGGCGCCCACCGGCCAGGGGTATATGCTACTGACGGGCCTGCCGCTACAGGGCGGGTCATCTTCATACATGCTGCCGTCGTATGACCGCTGGGAAATGGACGCACTCTCGAACAACGAGAGCCTGTCGATCAGCGTGCCCCTGCAGCATTACGGCACAGGGCTCATCGAAGAGCGGATGGGAAGTTGTCTGGGCCAGAGTGCGGGATACCAGCAGTACTGGAACGATGACTCGACGCTAGGACAGATAGAGAAGACGTACGGGATGCCGGTGACGGGAGGGACGGAGTCAGTGCACGGGGACGAGCGTCCGGGCGATGCACTGCCGATGTACATTCCAGCATTGAATGCTTGGTGAGTCTCCAATAGCCGCACTCCTGTTGTGACATTGCTTGCTAACCTCTTATGGATGTATAGGAAGTTCTGCAGTGCATACGCAAATTCTGAGGGCGACCTCGTCGGGTTGTACTGAAGATAGAACGAGAGCGAAGCCCTCAGCCACAATCATCTCGTCAATGCAGCAGTCTTCATCCTGATGATCAGCGTCGTCGCCCCCATGGGAACCCTTCCGCAGCCTCTGGGTCGACGTCTACCCCCCACTCATCCCCCTCGGCATACTTGTCCTCCCCGGCGAACATGTCCTTCCGGAGGTTTAGTGCCCGCCTACATATCCATCCTGCTCTGCACTCATCTTTGTCCTCGTCCGCCTCGTCTTCATCAGCCCCATCCTCATTTGCCCAGTCCTCGTCCGCTTCTCCTTGTCTCCATTAGTCAAATTCTGCCCGTGGCATATCCACATCTCGGACAGTCCGTTTGTGCTTTATCTGCCAGCGGTGAGGGACACGTCCTCCTCGCCGGGCGTCATTCTCGATGTGCCCGTTATTCAAACGTAGGAACGTAGGTGCTTGTCTCATCGTTGACCGGTGAATTTCTTGTCCTTCACAGCAGTTCCTCCTAAAATCCGTCTTGAATTTCCGTTTGCCTCGTTGACGGGGATAATGACATCTTGGCACCGGGTCCGAGCAAGTGCATCGCGCTCTCCGAGATGTCTGTGAGGGACTTCAGTTTGTAATCAGTGAGTCGTTGGCGGTCCTGAGGGTGCTATGCCGACTTCTTGGCTTAGCATGGCGTGCAAAGTGACTGCGAACTGTAGCTGGAACACATGTTCTTTTCTACTGAAGCAGTGAAAACCGAAGAGTTCATGAACATGTATCTAGCCAGCGGCTAGTGTTGTTTCTGATGCGTATATGGGGGTGGCGTTGTGTTCCGATAATATCGGAGTGTGCGAGTGATGTATACGCAGCTCCATGCTTCACGATCGATCAGGCCTCAGGCACCAAGCGCACCGTGGACGCGTACTGGAATCGCTGTAGCAGTATATGGGACAATGCATTGGTGTTATCTAGATTGTACATAGGGTAACATGTATGTCTGCGGGGCAGGCAGACCCGAGCGCAGGTTATCGGGCGTACGCGAAGTCGGCGCCCGAATGGTAGTGTATAGGAGGAGCACCGGAGACGGAGGCGCTACGTCTGTGGGTGCGCAAAGGCTGTGCCGTCGAGCTCTGCCGCAACGAGTGCGATGGAGCGGCGGGTTAGAGGGTGTACTCGAGGGGCGAAGGGGCGCGTCAAGAGCACGCCCGATGAGCACCGCGTAAGAGGGCAAGAAGGAGGCAGCGACGTGCCTCCAAGGCAGTCACGTTGAGAGAGGTGGGAAAGGATGCAAGAGGTAGCTTCGGGGCGGCGTCGAGCTCGAAGCGCGACATAGAAATCGGCCGCGACGAGCGGAGGGGCGCGTGGAGAGAACAGGGGGCGAGCGCTACATCACAGGGCTCCATGTATGAGCCCAGTGTCGGCGCTCGAGGAGTGCAAACTCGAGCACGGCGAGGAGCACGGCATCGGGCTTAAATGAGCGACATTGACGGCGGGCGCTCAGAGGGAGCGTAAAGAGGGCGGAGAGCGCGAGGTCGCCAGCTGGAGGAAAGAGAGCCATATGGGCTATGAGCGCGGCGTCGGCGGACGAGCAATAGGGCGCCGTCGAAGGTGCACGCGACGGCAGTGGAGGACCAGCCTCATCGCATGCGATGTGAATAGCGAATCAGACAAGCGCGGCGTCAGAGCAGGGGAAGGTGAGGGCCGAGGGCGGACGCGATGGGCTCGTCACCCAAGCGCGACGACAGCGTCGAGGGCGCGCTCGAGATGGCGTGCTCAAAGAGTGAGAGGGGAAGCGCGGCGCGTGTCGATATCTGCGAGGGAGATGGGGTTGTTGGAGGACTGGGCAAGCGACATCAATAGCGGACTTGGCAGGCTCGATGAGCGAGGACGAGAGCGACACCGGAGGGGATTAGAGGCCCGTTGGAGGGTGTTGAGGGGTGCGTCGAGGACCGAAACGATGAGCGGGGCGTGGGAGGGCAGGAATTAACGCGTCGGCGTGCGAGCCCGACGCACAGGATAACCGAGCAGGGGGAAATGAACGTGGAGGGTAAATGGGAGGTCGTCGAATGCCCTCAGTCTGAGTGCAGGGAGAAGAGTGTGAGAGGGGGAGGTGGAGGGCGGCGAGGGCGAGTAAGGTTCTAAAGAAGGGCGGGGCGGCGAAGGAGGGCGGCGAAAGAGAAAATGTAGAAACACGGGAACTCACCGGACGCGATGACCCCTCCGGCTTCCCGTTCTCCGATTGCTCTCCTATGACTTCTTCACATCCTCTAACGTTCATGTGTGGCAGATTGTGGGCTGCTTGTGTTGATTGAACGAACCGAACTTGTGCAAGCCACTAGTACGCTGCTAGTTTGCAATGCGGGGTGGAGATGATGCGGGGCCGGCAGGAATGCTGGGGATGTTCAGCCCGGTGTGTGGATATGCACGGGAAAGCGTACCTGATCATCAACCGATAATGACGGGCGGGTTTGTACCTGTCTGTGCATGCGGAAATGAGAAGGAGTACGAACGTAGAATTTGTAGAAAAGGCTTACCGCTTGAATTTGAACGAACTGATCTTCCTCCATTTTACCAGAAAGGCCAGACATCAATGACTGCCTGTTGGAAAGCCAGAGGATAAGAAGAGAGAGCTCACGCAGCCAAGGACATACAACTGGTACAGGGCGCGAGCAATACGGGACAATTGGAAATTGCAACCGGCGTGGTGCGGAGGGCGCGAGGAGAAAATGTCTGTAACGGCCAGCAGTAGAGGAGATAACGGTATGCATACAATGTATAGTGGTTCAACGTTCAGTTTGGGTAAGGACGTCGGAATGGCCGAGCTTCAATTTTTGATTTTCGCCTTTTTGACGCGCGCCGCGGCTCATTCGGCTATTGAAGATTACAACCACTACTACTGCACATGCAAATGCTTGTGAGTGCTTCAGTCATCCGGTATATGAACACCCTGGCTGATACGTATATTTAGCGACATCTACATGCGATATCTGGGCGGCGGTATTGGCCCCCGCAAGAACGGCGTCGACGCAAATACATCGAAGGAGCACGCGCAGCGCTGGCGGTCATTCATGCGACCCGGACGAATCGTCAAAAGCCTCCTCCCAGGATGCGAAGTCGAACTCCTAAGATGACCCCAGTTCGACCGCGGACCGCGTCAGACGCGACGACCTCGGCCCGCGTTAGCACAGCACGTCGCGCGACCATGGCTGCACACTGGACAAACGAGGGGCCGCACAAGACGGCCCGGTGAGGGCGCGCTCGATGATGCGGAGGACGAAGCTTGATTCTCAGCTCGGCGAGTGATCCCTTGGCAAGCCTGGACTAGATGCTTGCGCGCATAGCTTGTCTTTCTGGGCACTCCGAGTAGGAAGAAACTATCCTCACTAGTACGTGTACGTGGCACGATTGCCCGGCTCACTGCGCCTCCGCCTCCGCCTCCGCCTCCACCTCTGCTTCCTCCCTCTCTTCCTCTGCCTCCTCTGCCTCCTCCTCTGCATCAGTATCGTTCCATTCTTCATGGGCCCTTGCATAGTCCACAGCCCCGGTTGGTTCCACAACGGCGATGGGGCGGCAGTGTCGGCGGTGGAGAATCTTCATCTGAGTACTCTGTTCTTCCTCGCGAGCGGCCATCTGCTCCTTTGCCTCGGCAAGAACACGCACAAGTTTTGTGTAGTCTGTTTTTTTTGAGAAACGGAGGGCGACGCGCCATCGCAGCTCCGGAACAGAATAAATCGAGGGCTGGATAGTCAGAGTTTGGGCGGCCTGCATGTGGATCAGTGTCACAGTCTACGGGTACATGTTAATATTGGATAACCAACCTCCTCGCATGAGATCAGCATGTTGTTGTCGATAATTAGTGACTCCATCACCGAGGGACGAGACTTCTCGCTTTCATGACGCGTGCATACTATCAAGCCGCCTGCAATAGGACGACCGGCGCATTAGCTGTATCCCCGGATGGAGAACACGAATGCGCTTACAGGCCCCCTCGGACAGCTCTCCCAGTATTGTACGAGCAGACGTCCACTCGCTGATGTGAGTACTGTACATGACATCGTTGGATGCACACAATAGAAAAGGCTCCTGACTGATTGGTAGTGAGTAGTGTTCACGACCTGTGGAGCTTATAGCATACCAAGGCATAGCATAAGACAGCTGTAGACTTGCAGGATAGTGCGCAATGAGAACGTGGGAGTTAGGGGGATGGTGATGGTAAATTGCAACGGCGAACTGCACTGGCAGAGATTATACCGGGATGCAAGCGTCAAGAGTCGGCCAAATAGAGTACGCAGTCACAGGCCGACCCGTGACGGACAAACCTTGTTCGATATTAGAGAGGCAATTCAGCCGATAGTTTCAGCTTCGAAGTCATGTCTGGGAAGCGAGATAAGTCCCCCGGGGCTCGTCGTACAGAAGTAGCGGTGACAACGACAGGATATAGTTTCCGTCTCCGGCACTAACATCACCGTTCTTCTCCCTCCACGCGCTGGCTGGTGTTGAGGAAATGATCGTACACGGCCTCCGTGTTCTCATTGGTTCCCACTTGTCTTCCAAACAAGGTCCGCGGCGAAGGAGGCCCGAGCCGAGCGCTGTCACGATCCTGCGGAGGAAGTTGATGCACTTGAATAAAGCTTCTGCCGCGCGCTCCGGATGATGTGAGGTTTACGGCTGGGCGTACTCGTATTCGAATGCGAGTCTCTGCCCAAGAGGGCGTCGACGGGAAGCCAAAGCTAAATGCTGTCGCTCAAGCGTTCAAATGTTCGCTTCAAAGCTTCAAGCCGTAGGTCACCCAAGTCATCGACACACCTGTGTGCGCGTCGTGCAGGTCCTGCGGAGTGTACAAATCGCTAATCTCCTCTAGGTAGCTGTTAGTGTCTGCGAGCGACACGTGCCAATCGCAGAGGAGACGCGATCCGGGAAGTCTACCGATAGATTTCAACGCAGTGCGCGTGCACGGTCTTGTATAGGCACTATGTGGCGCTGTCGGCGCGTCTGTCAACGAGGATGTGCTAAGGAGGGGTGGTTCTACGCACTGCACCTAGATTATAGAGATGGAGGTAGCTGCCCACTCGCTATGGTTACTCTTCGTGCCCGCGCAGGACGGCGAGGGCTTTGATGGAAGCGTTGATGGGGCCACGCGGTTCGAAATACTCAATCGGATTGTGATCCATCAAGAAGAGAAATTTCAGCTGTCTTGGATGCGTAGCATATCCGAAGCGTGGCGAACGCTAGGCCGAGCAAGAAGGACAGCATGACCGAGGGACGTCCGGGATATCCTGTTGTAGCAAGGAGTCTCGGTTCAGGTAGCGGGGATTATGCGGAACCTGCACGTCCTCGCCGTAGGCATCGCCAAGATTCGAATGATGTATGCTCACTAACCTTGGCCTCACAGAGTAGCGACACTGCTCAGGCTGGTGCAGGCTCATCTTCAAGTTCGAGTTCCACTCCCGGGCCAGCCGTCAGCGGTTCAATCTCCGCTCGTGTACAGCTGTAAACTCTATTTCACAGTTCAGTACTGCAGTACTTGCAACTACCCACTACACGGCGACGGACTAGTTTCATCCCATCCCACGTCTCCAAGATCACTGTACATGGCCCTCTGCCACCTCACCTCCCTCGTCTGCCGCAATCAAATCGTCCATACCCTCAGGGCTGTCTGTCGCGCACGGCTCTAGTAGGATCAGTTTGCAGCTCCGGCAGCCGTCACCAGGACGAAGAATGAGCCGGACTTGAACGACGACGGCACAGAATGGTAGGAGACTTGCAAAGCTCCAAAGAAGGCCGTGTGCCCGTCACGCTGTACTTATAATGACTTATACTGGCCGCCGGAAACATTACATATCGGCGACGGTGCTTCTGTATACACGCTCACTGGCATACGCCCACCTGAACGTCTCTTTCAAGTCGTTTGCTATGCTCATCCAACGATGCACGCGACGACTCTCGGCGGAGGTCAACCTCGTGCTCGGGAAGACTCTGAGCATTTTCGGTTTTACAGACGCCTTCTATATCCTCCCAACGGTGGATACAAACCTAGTACGTAGATCCGACTTGTAGTATACTTTCTATTAAGAGTGATGCTACTACCTTGACTCAACCCTCCAAAAGCACCCTGTAAGGCCATCCACAACCGGGAACGCGTCGGGGTACTAATCAAGAGCAGTATTTTTGACTATAAAGTGTACGCTACCTGCTGCTGGTTCTGTCGCAGTTTACTGAATGCACTAACATGTCTGCACAGAACAAGCTCTTCCTGGACCTACTCGTGCGGCAAATCAGACACGCTCTGTGATTCAGCTATCACAAAGCTCTGGGCTGCTTGCATCAGGAGAAGTCTACTGCAGTCTCGCATGCAATGATTCCGCTCGTGCTCACCTCTAGTACACGGTAAGCGTATCTCGCCCAACCTATGTACATTGCAGTTCCTCCAGTTGCCCTACCGGAACGACATGCGCTCACCATGTATCAAACCAGATATTTCGTCGCCGCCTTGCGCGCATATCCTTTACGGTGTATGATTTTTATTATGCGGCACGCCTCTCTTGCGCAGATGGACGGCTCGGAGGGGTTATGTTGCACTTCTAACGACACAACCGTCGTAAAGTTATTTTCAAGCTTGGGACGTAAGCCTTCCTGATACGCGAGGTGCAGTGCTTCGCGCTGGCTCATGGAGCTAGATACAGCGGAAACAGTGCAGACACGATCGGGAGAAAATGCGTATTGGTATAGAGAGGTTTGATCTCAAATCGCTTGACTGCGCCCAGTGCGGCGTGTTCTGCAGGTATGCCCAGCATACTTATCCGACTGGGAATGCGGTTTTTGATCATGGTACTTATTACACATATGCAGAGGTTTGATAGGGTTACTGAGAGTGATCCGAACTCGCGAGCGCGACATTACCCCAGCGCGACGGTGTCTCGTCCATGAATCTCAAGCTTGAGCTATTCGGCAGCTGAAGCGACACCGTACTCCTCCCAGAACTATATGGGGATTGGTATAATAGTTATCTCGCTCGTGCTTCTTCACAACATTACCCGGGCGAGACTCGATAGGATTCAGTGCTGCGACCACATCCGTCCTTGGGCGCGTTACAGTGCCGTACGCAGGTATCTGTGGGGCATTAGGACTCGGGTGGTACTCACCCGGGTTGGCCGATCTTGTGACATGCATCTAGAGAGACGACTGTCGCACCGTATCATGTGCAAGGCCTGCGTGTGTAGAGGCAGTGCGTGAGCTGAAGGAAGGAGCCAACTCGACTGGGAAAGAGAATCGCGCGCCTATCGCGCCGCCGGCGTTCTCGGCGACTCGTATGCATTCCATGTTGGGGTTCGAAGTCGTGGGGGCGGGCGCCGTAAATATCATGGCAAAAGTAGCGGGGCTCATTCGAGGGTTCCAGGATACACGGTAGCTGCACCTCTTTCAAATTCGATTATTCAAATTGCTGTACATACACCACAAGCTTAAGCGATGCTCGCTATGTCTTCCAGACTGGTGACGGAATTTCCCAGCTACTCGCCCGCACAGCTTTCCGCAAGGGGTAGTGCTTGCGGAGCGGAGACGACCGCGCTAGACACATTGGAGGAGGACTCGGGTAGCTGTAGGTTGAGAACATCGCTCGAAGGCTCTATATGATGTCCCGGGGAACGGCGTACATCCTTCGCCCGAGGAGAAGACAGAGAGATTTCGCACCTGCAATAGCTTATGAAAAGCTTGAGCGGCGAGCGTGAAGGTACCGGCGAATACTACAGGCGCGGGCCTTACAACCTATCAGCATCGACACCGATCTTTGACGCGTGTGTTTCGATGCAGTGAGTGATCTTCTGTGATCGTATGAAGTCAGCGTACGAGGGAAGATATTTCCAACAACGTACGAGTGCGTGTTCCAAGTTCCCCGAATAACATCGGACGTCCATGTCGGGCGTCACACTCTGCCTTTCAGAAAAGATCAAGCACAGTGATAACCCGGTTTGTGTTGTGGATGCCGATGCCGAGGACGAGGACGAATCGGGAGAAGCCATCCACGAAACAGTGCATGACGAGTTTCCGTGAATGAGGCCTAGCAAGATGAATGAGCGATGCTTGCCTGCACGTTCATCTGGGTGCGCTGAGTGTAGAGCTCTCCGCAGTGGACCGTGGATCTCCGGCGATTGAGGTGCAATGAGACGGCTTCGCTGCGGTGCTGGGGACATGCTAAGGGATGACAAGAGGAGCACAAACGACGCAGAAGAATGACGATAAAAAGGATATGGGGTGATGTGTGCTAGAGCGGGGGATGGCGTGCTAGTTGCGGCAGAGACTGACCGTTGCGCTGTGATGCGGTCTGCAGACGTCTTCAACGAGTGCCAGAGGTAACAGTCTGCGGAGTACGATCCGCCGATTTCTCGGTTCACAGTACAGGAGCATGTTGCTACACTTCGCCGCGGGACGTACGCGCAAGGGCATAGCTTGAATAACATACGCGCCGCACGGGAGAATTGAGGATAGCCTTCGGCCTGTCTCAGTCTAGGGAGATGAGCTTACCCTCAAGGCAAGCTCATGAGCTAAGCATGCAAGCACTTCGTCTGCATGCTGTCTTTGTCTATTTCTGGAAGTGTGCTTCGCGGTAAGTGCGGGTGTCCACGACGTACGGACGTGGTGCTTGCCTGTGTATTGATCTGAGTGCGGTAGCCCGTGGATCTCCGAGAAGCAGGGTGCAAGGAGACTGGCGTGGCGGGGCTGTATCGTGCGAGTTGCACAAGCCTTGGCGAGGCGGGTGAGCACGTTTGCAGGCCGCGAGCGCGATTCAGCCACCCGTCTCCTGGATTTCGGGTCGTGCACATCGGGAGTCGCGCTGGGGACGAAGACGTCGCGTATTGGGATCCCAGTGGTAGGAGGAGGAGGTGGAGGAGGAGGAGGAGGAGGAGGAGGAGGAGGAGGCAAGAGCGAGTGCACCGAGGCAGAGCGGAGGAGGAATCGGCCCACGTGGCTCCCATCCATCCAGCGTCTATCCTGATTGCGTCTTCCGGATACGCTCACTGCGCTCAACACTCAATATTCAATACGCACTACACGGTCGCTTTGTTCTTATATACCACTTATTTGCCTTTCTAATAAGCCGGACTCGTTTTCACGACAACACCTATAGTCACTGTCTGCCTTCAAGAAAATGTGCCACGCGCTCGCTCGTTTTAAGTATGTTCGCGGCGTTCAGGCAGGCCGCGCGGCTGCTATGAACCGACCTCAGGCTTGAAGAGCGCGATACCTTGGTCGCCCGCCCCGCTGTTGGGAATGCCGTCAGACCTTCCCGCTGTTTGTTATTGTCTGCGAGAATCCCGCATTGTAGCTGACATCCTTTATTTGTGCGAGTCCTTCCAGTTGATCTTGATGCTCACAAAGTTTAGTGTAGGTGTCATATTCGCCAGACTGCAAACGGCCATGCGCAAAGGCGTTTCCCCTAAATTTCCCGCTGCACGCCAGGAAGGCATGGTCGTGTGACGAGCACGCGATCGTGTCTGCCGCGTCGGACAATGGCCTTCAATGCACGCGCAACCGTCAAAGGTTTGTATCCTTCTACTTTTTGCTGGTGGATTGACTGTCATTTGAATGTACGGGTGATTCCTCTCGCACATCCTCGACCTCATACTGCCCGCACAAACGGTGGTACATATGCACGTCCCCGACACCAATACCACCGTCTCCCACGCCAAGCACCCCCATCCGCTTTTTCTCCAGCACAACCATGCGCATTCCTCTCCCTTGCACGGTGCTCCTACAAGAACTAGAAATCAATACATAATAAGCCACATATAATTTTTGACTTGCAGGCACGAGTCGACAGCATACCTAGACATGGTGGTTACCCGCAATGACACCGCCTCCCACAGGCGTGACACTGAACGGTGGGTTTGCGATTGGGGTTCATGTAATCTTCCCTTCTCTCGGTGGGGTCGTCGTTCCAGGATATCAGATACTTGACGATAGTCATGCTAGTGAAGTTCAAACTCCACCCGCCCCAATCGCAAATTTGCCTAAGAGGCCAGCGGCATCCGCTTGACAGCCACTGACATCCTCCACGGCGAAAAGAGTGCGTTCCGTACGGGAGAGGATCGATACCAATGTCGAGCAAGTTATTTCTGAAGAACTCGAGGAACGCATCCGCGCTCTAATGATAATTGTGAGCTCACAAACATTCTCATTCTGGCAAAACTCACGATATGCCGATCCGCCTCGCCTATCCGATCGCCGGCCCTCATGGGTGGGTATAAGTAGTCCGATGCTTTCCCCGGCCTGAAGACAGAGATCCAATCGCGCAGTGCCCGGACGGGACACAAGTAGGCCTCTGATTCGGGGCGCTGATGGAGGACAAAGGGTTTTATGCCTATAGGGCCATGTCAATGGAGCATTTATGAATTATAACAGACGACATACTTCCGTATTGATGCGTTTTTCTGAACGGCAGGGAAAGTTCAAAGCTCGTGAGGTTGACGAGTTTCAGATGTGAAACTCGTATCTGCGATACCTCGTCGAACCGAAGAAGACACCAGAAAGCCAGCGTGTACGCGGATTGCAGGAGCCTCCGAGAACGGCTTCCACCCCAAGTGGAGGGGGCTCTGGCATCGATGTTACAATTCTCGGAAAGGTTATTGAACTCCCACATCTTCTTCAGGATCTCGGGGGTGATAGCTCGTGCGCTTTGTGGGGCGTCGCCTGCCCGGACCTGGTCGTTATCATTTCGTTAACACATATCCAATGAGAAGGCAACGGTGGTCTTACCTTACGACGATGCATGGACCGCATGTACTGCGTCACGCGGTCAGACTTGGACGGATTCCCGCGCCATACACCCGCTTCAGTCAGATGCCAAGATGATGTCCCAACCGCTGGGTCCCGGCCATAGGCATAGGTCAAAGCTGCCCTCATCTTCATCCCGTGATCGTAGGTGGAACGACGCTCATTGGGGAGTCGGGCTACCCCGTCTAAATCTATTTCATCACAGCTGTACCACGGTAAGTAGTGACCCTGATGGTGCATTGAGGTAGAAAAAAATAACACGCACACCTCCAAAATCCACATAGAAATGTGGTCGGGGGTTTCTTCGGTGACTTGGTTGGTAAAATCGTCGACCCCAGGGAGAACGAGGCCTTTCGACGTCGCCCAAAGGTGGTAGGCTTTGATCAAACTGTATTGACAGGTGAACTACGTTTGGCGAGTACAATGATACGAGTACTCACCGTGTATACCCATCCATAGTGCCTTTTGATCTTCCCGTCGAGGCATTTTCGAGAGTGTCGGACCACGTCTGGGGAAGGGCACCGTTGGAGTGACCAATGGCGTCACTCTCTGCGTCCGGCGTATCGCTCGTTTCGGAGGCCTCCAAAGGTGAGATAGAATCCGAGTCGTCCGCCTCGTCGTAAAAGTCTTCCTCGGTAGACGTGGGTCCCGTCGCGTCTAGGAGGGCAACACGGAGGCCCTCACAGCTGTACATGTGTGAGGAAGGCAGGAAGGGGCACGCTGGGTGAGCCGGGGATGAGGTACGGATCGGACTGCCACTATACCCATGCACGCTCATATATGCTCAGCACCGGCGTCGGACCTCGCTGTCTTAGCAAAGATGTTAATATGGTAAGCGCGCTGCCTGATGACACGAATTCAAAACGCAGTGTCTTGATTCTGCAATTGCGATAACCCGCGAGGCTCGGCAGCGGATAGTAGGACAGGTTATGCGAAACCGTCGGGTGTCCGACGTCGCGGCGTTGTCGGCTCGGTGCAGATTCGGAGGTCTTGGCCTCCCGTCGCATCCGTCGCACGGCGTATGCTCTCGTGCTTCCCTGACGCGAACAGTGGGTAGTCGGTTCATTACCCAGCGGGACAGGTTTTGCCTAGGTAATGCCGGATCCCTAGATAGGGTCGCACACAAGGATGACACTGGCTTGCTTGTTCAGGATAAAACAGTGTGAGTAAAAGCTGGAGTTGAGAGTGCAACACATTTGACTTACTCACGAGAGGGCTAGATGTGAGCGTAATTGGGGCGAAGCGGCCGCGGCCGGGAGTCGCGGTGTCAAACGGGACATGGTGACGGCAAGGAGGCCAGTCTTCTCTGACATGGTAAGCGACATCCTATCACTTGTTTCACTTCTCTCGGTTTGCGGCGATATGCGAAAATGTGCGCATACTTTGGCAGGTCATTGACACGAAAGTGGGCATCGGCTTTCGAAGATGGCGCACGATGCGCGTGGGTAGGGGACACGCGACCGCTGCCCTTTGGCTGCTGCTCAAGCCGCTCTCTCCCTACTTACACTCTAGACTCTGGGGCGTTGGGATCAAAGGCGGGCGACCGCAGAGCCGCCAAGATGTCTTCGCCGTCTGGCGCCATCTTCACCCGTGGGAGGGAAACGCGCGCTGCTTGCACGCGATCGGCCGGTCTTCGCGATAGCAGCCTGTACTCGACCGTCATTTTAGGCTGTGTTGACTGGAATCCATCGTAGAACGACTGAGAAGCACCGTCTGTCACGGGTTATGCGGTGAATATCCTCGCAAGTTACTGATCTCGCGCTGGTTGAGAGAAGTAAGTATACGACCTGCAGAGAGGCTGACCGATAAGTGACCCCTCACAATGTACATCCTACACGGCGAAACTGTCCTTCAAAGTCCGGGGTTACCTGTTCGAACGTGTGTAAGAAGGGGTCTCACTGTAAAGTAGACATTGCAAAAAGTAAGTGTACACCATCCATATCGCCACGGAAGGCGCGGTACTCGCGGCAGAGGCGGGCCACGGACCTGAAAACGGTAAGCTTTCGCACACACAACCGTCTCGCGATCCGATCCCCCTGCAGACATGCATCTCACCTCGCTCGCTGGCCGCATTTACTTGTGTAGCATTCAGTGCGTGCACAGTCCTGCCCTCCGTCAGTCAGTCTTGCAGTGCGCCCCCGACGCGTCGGCATGGACGCATCGCGTAGGCTGCGGGGTACGACGGGCAGCAGTGTACACGAAGTTGACTGTGCACCGACGGACTTTGCGTTGTGCCCTGTGCGCGGACACAGGAGTCGATCACTCGCCCCCCCCCCC